GGTGCCCAGAAGATCTTCAGCAAGACTGAGAGGGTATTCAGAAAAGTGAGTAAGTACGTCTTCCTTTTAAACTAACAACAAAGAACAAAGGCAGCGAGTGCGGAGTGAGAAGGTGCTTTGGGTCTCCACTGAGAGAAGGCGAAACCGTTTACAGCCCAGGGACCGTGATGGAAAGAGGGACAGTTCTGAAGCTTTCCCTTGCTTACGAGAATGCTGCTCTCTCTAGAGGAGATGTGTAAGTTCATGCATAAGTCATGGTTACTGTTCACTGGCCATCTGTGAGGTGCCAGGCCCTGTGCAAGCTATATATATATATATATATACATATACACACACACATATATATATATACATATACACACACACATATATATATATACATATACACACACACATATATATATACATATACACACACACATATATATATATATACATATATACATATCATTGTTCCTGTAGTGCTCATTCATAAGCCTACGAGCAGGTACTATCATTCTTCCCATCTACGGATGAGGAAATGGAGGTTTACTGAGGTTGGGTCGCAAAGAGCAGCACAGTGTGGGCTGAAATCCACATCTATCTGATCCCAGCAGCTGCACGTACTCTGTAACTACGCTACCTAGAAACAGCAGAAAACGAGGAGGTTGCTGCCCAGAAGTATCTGCAGTTTGGGAGGGGAAACTGCCAAGCCAACCGAGCCACTTTCTCAAAGTGAACAAGGCTGACGAGAGTCCCAACATTCTCACCTTGTTGGAAGAACTTCTTGTCTACTCAGGATGGGCTGCGTGCCCCATCAGTGCTGTGAACCTTGGAGGCGCAGCATCCCTCCTCCCTTCTGACCTCAGTGGTGCAAACAGTGGAATGTCTGACTGTACTTCGAAAGGTCGGGGGTTCAAATCTACCCAGAGGTGTCTCAAAAGGGCTGCATGGAAGTCTACTTCTGAAAGCTCCACACTGAACACCTTTGGAGGACAGTGCTACTCAGACACACACGGAATCACCAAGAGGTAGAGCCACTCAACAGCAGCTGAAAACAAAAACATACAACGAAGCTCAGCATTCTAGCTGCGTCTCTTTGGCTTGTAGACTGCCTCTTGTGGGCATGGTCCCAATGGCTTTATACTTAGTTCCAGGTACCAGGAGGCTGCGGTCTGGCTGGAACGTTAACCTGACCAGTGAAGCAAACTCACCGATCAAAGTGACAGCCACTCTGGCTTCAGACAAGCAAGTTCACCACCCTCCTGCTCATTGAAAGCCCAAATATCGCTTGGAGAGGCCAGTCTTTTCTGTATCGTAGGGTGATGGCACTAAGGCTTGAAGAGGTCATGTCATTTGCCCAAGGTCACGGAGCTAGGAAGTGGCACAAAGGAAGGTAAGCCAGGAAGCTTAAGTGACACTGAAAACTCTCAACAGCACAAACGGTATATGGAGTGACTTCGTTGTTTGGAGAGGAGTAATTTCTTAACAACACAAACACTGATGGGTTTCTTAATCAAAAGCAGTCAAAGGTTATACAAGTTAGGTACAGAAAAGATCCATCTTTTTGATCATGTTGGCAGGCAGGTGAAGAGTTTCTGACTCATAGAAGTCCTGGGGTAAAAGGGGAACTGCCCAGAGGGTTGCCAACCTGCAAGCTCTCTAGAGGCAGATAGATGCCCAGGTCTTTTCTCCCACAGAACCCCTGCCGGGTTCAAACTACCAACCTTTCAGTTAGCAGCCAAGCCTGTAAGTACTGCAGCACCAGGGGCCCTAGTAATCTGATAATACTACACGGTTTTACAGATACGGCTATTCTGCTTAACAGAAACATGCCACGACTTTACTTAGAAAAATCCTGTTTGGTCGTGAACGTGAAGCAAGTGAGAAAATTTAATAACATTCAAAGAAACCCTCATTTATTTCAGTTAGCTCAGTAACTAGTGTGGATTCTACAACTCAGAATTAAGAGCTATCATACTTTAGCATCAATTTAGGAAACGATAAATTTAGAAGCTCGTCATAACATCAAGTGGCCGATGGGGCCGCTCTGTAGTAAGACTTGTTTTATCTGAGCTCTAAAAAATGATTGCAGGGAATAGTATCACTAATGGCGATGATTTGGCAAACCGAAGCCCATACATATGGACAAGCAATGGTGTACTGTGCTCCTGCAGTTCAGATGATTGAAGAGCCAATGTAAGGCTTCTGCTATGGTGGGAATTAGCCACACAGCAATGAAGCGGGATGATAATCATGGAGTAGAGAAAGCAGTGAAAACGTCTCAACGAAGATACTAAAATAAGGGCGATAAATGTTTCACAGCAACAATCTGGAATTGTAAAATGGTCCAGGGTAGCCTAGATACTATGCCATGCTGCCCAGTACTAAGACTAAATCGTCATGTGCATGAGAAAGGGTAGCGACTAATTCAGTGACAAGTACACGCCTCCCACTGAAAAGGTAAGTGATTGCTTCTATTCAAATACAATGACATGCTGCTCAATGGCCGGTGACAAATATCCACGCGTTTCCATCAGTAATAGGTGAGAAAACAAGGGCATCTGAGGGTTGCTTGGGATATAGTAATAGTCTTCCAGCCGGCCCTGAAGACAGACTGAGGAGAGACTCAGTGGAAGACAGATGGACACAAGGCTTGGTGACCGTGACCCAAGTATACAAGGAGACAGGACACCCTGTTTTAAGTATAGTTGATGGACAGATTTATTGGATACATTTATAAAATGTGTTGGAACGGATTTACCTCCAGGCAACAAATCCTGGCTGTTAGGCATGCATTCTGGCTAACAGAATATTCCAGAAGCTGCTTCAATAGTAAAGACCATGGTGCAAAAAAAAAAAAAAGACCATGGTGCCAGTGCTCGCTCTCGGGTGACCACGACATGGCTTTGGGCATCTTATTTTCATACCCCCACATTCAAAAGCAGAGAACAGGTGAATGGATCAAAAAGAAGCGTCCTCCACAAAATGATCTCTCTCTTATCAAAAAAGGAAAGCTTCACAGACCCTTTCCCCCACTTCTTTTTAATGTCTCATTGGCCAAAACCAGACCATACCCGCTCTGCTGTCGGCATGGAATTGGTATAAAAGGCCCCAGCCCATCCGGACACCTGTCCAGTCGCTGAGTAAAATCATGCTTCCTGAGCAAAGCAGCAGCAGAAGCAGAGAAGTCTACTGGGTGAGTAATCAATAGAGACCAATGACCAGATTGCCTATTCTTTACTATTGTTATTGGTTGAGATTTAATACATGTATCCTATCATTCCAAATTTCAACCATGTAGATGCACACATGCTACCACAATCAGTTTCCAAACATTCTTTTTCTACATGAACTCTTTGACATCATCTCCCTTGGACCCCACCCCCCCTCTACGTCTATACTCCCCTCCTCCCAAACCCCTTATTCTACTTGTTGTCCTTCTAGATTTATTGATCCTGGGTTTCATATGCCGAAAAACAGAAAAGCATTTCACACAGCTTCAAGAGGGTGAGATTGCCTATTCTTGATAAAACCAAGGAAATGGTAGAACTCATTCTATTTAATAGAAATATCACAGAATGCCTGTTCCCTCTTAAGAAGAGTTGATACAAAGTGAAAACTAATCCTAAATAAATATTAAATACGAAAAGCCTATTGTCTAAGTAAATGAAATCGTTTCAGTCCTTCATTCCATAACTGCTTACTCTTAAGTTAAAGTGTGCCAGACAGACACTGTTCTAGGTACTCCGGATTGCTCATTCAAAATACCGCTCTTTCACTGCCATCGATTCGATTCTGACTCACAGGGAAGACCTGCCCCTGTGGGTCTCGGGGACTCTACCACTTTTCGGGAGTAGAAAGCCTCATCTTTCTTCCAGGGAGCAGCAGTTGGTTTTGAACTACAGATCTTGCGGCTAGCAGCTCGGCATGTAGCCCACCTGGTCTAGTGGTGAGCCACACAAACTGTCCTCCAGGAGTGCATCCTCTAGCGGTTTCAGAAACACCAACTGCACAGATCTAACAGAAACAGAACAATAGTCGTGCTTCCAGAGTAATTCAGAATAGTACCTACATGCTGATTAAATTACAAGAATGAGTTGGTAGAATTATTGGCTGTTTTTTTTAATATTAAAATATTGGTAATGCATATTTATGTAGCATTCCTCCCTCCCCCCCAACCACTCAAAATACTTCTATGCCCATTATCTTTTCATCATTGACTGTACAGGAAGACTACTTAGCTCCCAAGAGGACAAGAAGCTAGGTCTCCCATATCTCCCAAATCATCCTGGTTTCACTCAGAACTGCAGCTTCCCGAAAAACAATTAAGCAAGCACAAAGATATCGGCCACAGTCTTTAGACCATCTGAGAAGGAGACTCATCTCCAGGCTCACTGACGTTCACTGTGGATGGCTCCAGAGGGCATGGTGTGCTAAAAGGGAAAACTGGGGGTCTGGAGACGTACCCACACATCTGAGCTGTAACGGGAGCCTCTGCTGTGTTGGAACACAATTTACTAGAGTTTTACTAGACAAATAGCCCCCAGGGACTTTTTACTCTACTGTGCGCCTGGGTTCCCCTGAGTGTGTCAAAGAGAAATGCCAGCCTGACGGTATGTTCGATTTGCCCTTGTCTCCTAAGTGAGGAAAAGGTGGCAGACCTAGCTCTACTCAGAAGCAAAAGCCCCAGGAACTAGATCCCTTGCTAGAAGAAGGTCACCAATCATCCGGCTTGGGGACAATAGTTAATCAGTGAAGATTTTTTTTGACCAGAACACAGAATCCAATGTCAAGCTCTCTCTCTCTATTAGTTGCCAATGCAAGAAAACATAAAATCTCTGGTACATGCCAATTACTTGTTTAGTAATATATCATTTAGAGGATTTTTTTTAAAAAGCTTAATTAGAGCAAAGAACATATTTGGAAAGGTTATTTCCACAAATCAGAAGCAGGTGCTGGGGGGAGAGGAGGCTGGAAGAACACGCATACAGACCAGGTTTAATGAAGTCTTGACTTACTGTTTAGTGAGCCGAGGGTCCAGGGGAGGGTGCTGTGCTCCATATACAGGTTGGATGCTAAAAGCAGGGGAAAATGAAGCAGCTGTTAGTTAAACTGAAAAAAATTGAGTTGTGGTGGTGGCATTAGGTGCCATCAAGTTTATTCCACCCCATAGTGACCTTATGCCCAACAGAAAGAAACACTGCCTGGTCCCGACCAGAGTCAGCCTCATGATTGTTCCAAAGCTTGAGCCCAATGGGTAGTCCCTTACAAAACTAGAAAGGACTTTGCAAAATAGGTTACGTCCAAGAAGGCCTATCCTCCATGTCATCCCCCAAAAATAACAACCGACTCTTCACAAACAAGCCTTTGAGAATGTTTATCTTCCCAGGTGAAGTTTCAGAGCCTTACCTGTATTACCGGGAGGTCCTATGTGAAAAGGCGGCAGAATAGAAAGATAATGGGGGCCTTAGGGTTGGGGAGAACAGGGTTCAAATGCTAGTATGGCATCCAATACAACTGGAACCTTGGCCAAGGTACTGGGCCACTTGGAACCTATTTTCTCATATGTAAAGTGGAAGTGTTACCTCAAAGGACTGATGGAGCACAGAGAATGAAAGTCATGCTATGGAACAAGAGAAGAGTGATCCACGGAATGCTCCCACATTGCTGGTTCAGATCTCAATTACTACAACCACTCTCACACACAGGTTTGGTCATACCCAAGAAAAAAAGAAATACGAGGGGGTACCCCCCACCCCGTGGGGGGAAAGGCCAGCCCCCCACAACTAATCACGGGTCCAGCAAGTGCAATTGTACGGTTAAGATATATAAATATTATAATAAAGTCATAGAGAGCATGAGAGATAGAAGAGAGTCGAATAAATAAGTCAGACACATTTCATGGTAGCATGCTCACCTCCTGGATGGCCATGATCTTACCAGCCAGGTCCGGCACAGCGTGAGCCGAGGTGAGGTCGGGAGGAGACCCCTGGAGAGAGCCAGCTGGCTGAACACCCCGTTTATTGCTAACCAAGGATTAGATCTACTTAGTGGGGCATGATTACAAGTAACCACACATCACAGGAAGGGGCAGTACAATAGGCATACAAGCAATAGGAGGGGGATATACAATGGGCATAGGTGTAACAGAAAGAGGATGAACTGGGGATGTACACATGATAGGAAGGGGAGGGACTAGGGGTATATATGTGACAAGGTGGGCGGACCCTAGATTCATGATGGTGGCCTAACCTTGGCCACACTTGAGTGGGCATGACCTCTCTGGGGACCTACAAGGAAACAGTCAACTACTATCCTTATTAGAAGGGAGTGGGTCCTACTTATTGTGGGAATAAACAGTGGTGACTGCTTGCTCTGGATGGCTGATAACCCTTAGGGAGAATAACCCCTGACCTACTTCTGTTAACCTCCAATCGTATAGTCATTCACCACGTGTAGAAAGCAGCTAAATGTGGCATACATTTAGGGGAGACAACTTGGGCGACATCTTTGTTTTCCACAGCCCCCCAAAACCCGTAATCTCCTCCACTCCACCCCAAGCTACATATTGAAATTTTTTTTTTAACAAAACCACCTTATCACCTTCAAAGTACTCTTCATTACACTTAATACATTTGTCAAATCTATGATTACATTCCTGGAAACATTTTTCAAACTCATCTGTTTGGTTGACTAATAGCACCTTTGATTTTTTTCTTCACTTCTTCTATATCAGTAAATCTCTGTCCTTTCATGTCCCTCTTCATTTTTGGAAACAAAAAGAAGTCCCATGGAGCAAGGTCAGGTGAGTAAGGACCATGGGGCAAGAGAGGCATGCTGTTTTTTGCCAAAAACTGGCACACTGGGATGGCTGTGTGAGTAGGTACATTGGCGTGGTGGCAAAACCAGTCCCCAAACTGCTACAAATCAGGCCTTTTTGTAGCACCATTACACAATCTTTTCAGAACCTCCAAATAGAAGGCTTGATTAACAGTCTGACCTGTTGGACTGAACTCCAAATGAGTTGATATTTTCATCCATTCAGGAAGTTGACAGACTTCCAGAACGAGGTTTGTCATCAATCAATATTTCACCTTTTTTGAAATGAGAAAACCACTCACTCCTACACTTGAGTTTCCCCCCATAGCACTGTCCTTGTAAGCTGTGTTCAACATCACAACATTTTTTGCGGCATTTTTCCCAAGCAGGAAGCAAAATTCACAGCCACACTCTGCTCTCTTAAATCGGTCATCACAAAAAACGAGGTTGGAGTGAAATTACTTGTACGAAAAAATTCACTGTGACCAGAGAACTTTCCCAGGCGATGCCACTGGGTGCACTAACTCAGAGCAAGTTGCTTGATGCTCACCTAGCATGGAAAAATGTGTACTACGAAAGCTCTGCTCAGTGGAGCCTTTTTCTGGGTTTGTTTGTTTTTTTTTTGTACCCCCCTCATGCATACCCAAGAGCCAATCTTTTGACTCTGGGGTATATATTTTTGAAGAGAAATATGTACATATGTGTATCAGAAACCATTTCTAAAGGTACTCATTGTCTTATGATTCCTGTTAGCCCCTTGGTTGTTTTAAGTGCATTCTCCACTTTATTTCTAGGTTGTAATATCCACAGCAATAGCTACATAGAACTCACAGGCAAATTCTGTGATTAAAGGGTTCATTAAGGAAGTTGACAGGTTATAATCCGAATGAGAAATGCTCAGGATACCGTTGTTCATCAGGACTTGTCACAAAGTTCTTTCAGGTATGCTAATAAATGCCCCAAGAGGCCTACCATTCAGCTGTGAGTCTCACCTAGAAGGCACTCAGCTCAAGCTCCAGGGGGGCAACAAACCCAGCTCCCCGATCTAAGTGCCCAGAGGCTCCCTGCCCCAGGAAGCCTCAGCCTGGAGGCACTCAGCTCCACTTCTGTGGGCCAGCAAGCCCAGCTTCCCCAGCTCAGTGGCCAGAGGTGCTCCTGCCCCACACACTGCTCTCCTTGCTCCGTGGGTTGGAGGTTCACCATTAGGTTTCCTCATTGGGGCTCCTGACCCTGCTGCTGCTGCTCCTCTGGTGTCATAGCCATCTCTGGATCCGGGAGGTTCACTGCGCGGGAATCTCCGGAAAAGGCTCTTGCTGGTAGTGAGTCCTCCTCCTGCTTCTCATCTTATACACCGCAGGACAGCATTCCAGGAATCCTGCTCACAACTGCTGACAGGTGAATCCTATCGGGACTTTCCCCCACCTTCTTACCAGACCCACGCCGGAAATGGTCCTTTAGTGGGAGTTAGAGACGTTAGCTAGAAGTGCCAGATTAAATAATTCACTGCCCGGCAGCCCACACTACAAATAACCCATGCACAGTGAATAGAAAATGAACTGCTCCGACAATAGACTGCTACGCAGCAACGTAAATAACTGAACCGGGCCTGCAAGTGCGAACAGGGACGAGCCTGGCAAAGGTCATGTTGAGGAAAGAGGTCAACATGAAGGAACAGTTACAGTGGGATTTTATTCATATACACTTCAAAACGGGCAGAGCGGGTTTGCACTGTGTCGGGATGCACACATAGGAGTGGTGGTCTGAGGAAAACCAGCACGTGGTCAGCTATGGAGGCTGTGGTTATCGCTGGAGAGGAGACAGGTAGGACTGGGAGCAGCACGCGGACTGCCCGAGACTTCGACTCCCGTGGTGGTGACACGGCGCTCTTTACAGTTCTTCAGTAAGTGGTCAATGTACACATTTGTTTCACGTACTTCTCTGCAGTTAGTCCGTCCTAATAACCATAATAATAAAGAGCAACCCCAACACAACTGGTATCAATTCAAACTATTCAAGTGTACAGGCAGCAGGAAAACGTTTTGTTGATTGTTTGTGTTTAACATGCCAGAACTCAGGGGAGAGGGTTTCCACAGCTCCTCCTGAAGAAAGCACGACAGGGCAAACTAGGCACCAGGAGAGGAAAGAGTGGTGAACAGCACCTGCCTGAGTGACTCCTCCCCTCCAACCTTTGAGGCTATCAGGTGGCAGAAGAGAATGTAAACATAATACAATTGAAACGAGAAGAAGGGAAAAGTGGGCAAATAGGCACACTCACTTCTTTATTTTTTACCGACAAGAGTCAAAAGATATTTAACGTTCACAGTTTAAGTAATAAAGGAATAAGATTATTTAAAGATAGAAAGTAAAATTAAGAAAAACAATAGAATCGGCTAAAAGCAAGCAGGGAGGGGAAAGGATGGAACACATAGCTACTAACTTTATCATTACTCCTGGTACGGAGTCAATAGATATTTTTGACAAAATAAAGTATAAAGTTGTACTTATAAATAAAATCACTAGAATAAAATGATAAACTTCCCAAATTATCAGACCATATGCATGCATATCCCCCACCAAAAAAAGGGCAAACACAGTCCATATACAGAATGCTTTTTCTTTTTTTTAATCAATTTATTGGGGTTCATTCAATTCATCACAATACATAAATCAATTGTGTAAAGCACCTGTATACATTTGTTGCCCTCATTAGTCCCAAAATTCGCTTTCCTCTTGGGTTCCCGGAATCAGCTCATTTTCCTTTTAGGGCACTTTTTTTTCAAACAAAATATTAAAACTAGAACCAAGACCAATTGTGTCAGTCATTTCAATAAATATTAATGGGCTAAGTTTCATTATTAAATGACAACGGATTATTACCAATAGGAGACAGGTTAAAGACATCTGTTAAAAAGAAGAAGCTGTTCTACATCACTGACATGTAATGAGCTCCAAAGACAGTAACTGAAAAAGGCGCAGAACTGTATATATAAAAATTCATCATTTAAAAAAAAAGCTTTAAATGCATGCGCATTTGAACATGTGATCAGGTCTGTATGTTCACAGAGCATCTCTGAAAGAGTACACAAGACGCAACAGTAGTGGTTTGTAAGGAATGGACACTAGAGGGCGGTGCGGAGAAATATAGCATTCACTACAAACCTTTTTGTACCTTTCTGATTCAGCATCAAGTACATGAATCACCTTTGACAAATTAATTAAGCAGGCTTAAGAAGGCTGGGGAGCCCTGATGGAGTAA